GGCCTCCCAGAATGGGAAGGTAAGACCCTGCTGCTGAAGAGAGAACATACTTCAGACGCAGGATTTGGAGCAATAGAACTGCAACTGACCTGAAAGCACTTTCCCTGAAGGCAAGCTCTCATTGCTTTGGAGAGCGCTTATGAAGGTGCCACGGGAAAACATCACATGATCCAACACCAGCTTCAAGACCAAATAACCACATCAGTGGCCAGCACAGCATATGTCATTGGTGCAGTAGTGGCACTTTTATCTTGGGAGCAATCAACAGCTACCTAATTTGACTAAATGCCCCTCAAAGGAAGGAAACTCAAGTGTAGCAATGTAAACATCACCTAATACATATGGCTGGAGTGGCCATAGATCTAGAGAAAAACCCCAAGACTGTCATGTTGCAAGACTAATGTGATTTATTACTGTGTGCAAACTACGTATCCGTACATTTACAGACAAATATCCCAGTCACCACTCATCAAAGAAGCTCATTTTGCACCAGTCAGAGACCATTACCAAGTACCGCAACTGGTCACACACGGACATTGTCTATGAATTTCCTAGGCCTAAGCGACACATCTACAATGCAACCTCTGCACCTTAAGGCTCATGGAACATAGAACAGGGATAAAAAAGAGTACACTAATGAATCTCTCAGTTATCAGTAATGAAGCTCCCGCATGCAGCAGAGAGCCAGGACACAAAAGGTCACAAATGGCCAAAGTGTAGAGATCAAGAGTCTGCTGAATGATGGTCCTTGGATAGGACTCCTATATTAAACTTCACCTTCCTAAGGCTCAGGGACCATTGTGGAAGAGGGGGCAGAAAGATTACAAGACCTGCGGAGGAGGTGCATGACCATATGGAAACAGAGTCCCAGAAGCTCCTGTGAGTCCTAGAAGCTCATGTGAGTCTATGGCAATAGTGTCAGCATACACAAGTCCCATGCAAACTCAGGCAGACAATAACCCAGCATAGAACTGGGAAAATGCATAGCAGACCTCAGTCTTATCTGAAGGAACATTGGCAACAGATTGTTACCAGGTGAAGAAGAGCTGACCGTCTTAAAACAATGGACTCTAAATAGACTAACTGGACTCAGTGGATGGACTTGCACTGGGGAATAGCTGGGGACACTGACAACCCAGTTGGCCTTAATGGGGATGACAGAGTATATGGACTCCAGTTGGGGGACTGTGGGAGGGTGCTGGTGGGGATGGGGGTATAAAGATGATTGATTGTATAAGATGTTCTCTGTGAAATACACACACACACACACACACACACACAAAAGCATTTCCTTGTACATAGTTTGATTTATACTCAGCTTGACCCAGGAGTCTCTGATTGCTGTTTTTTTTTTCCTGCACAGTCTGTGTTTATGAAGCACACATGACTGCCATATAACAAGTATAGGATACACTGTTATAGAAGGCCCCAGAAAATCATTACTGCTTTGAACAAATGCAAGCTATTCAGACTTGCATAAGTTGTAAAAGATGAGCTGTGTAAATAGCAAGAGACCCTGTAGTCTTTTCTTGGCTTTCACAGTTTATAACAATGCTAGATACTGCCAGTTCAAAGAAGTAGTTCTCTCTCTGATGAGTGAATAGCTTTAGGGAGTGGTGTGTGGGATAAATGAAGCTCATGTAGAATATTTTCTAGGTGAGTGCTTCCTTTTCACAAGTCCCAAATTCTGTACATAGACATTTTCCATTTGTTATGGTTTTTATTTGAAATGCAAGTTCAGACTCTGAATGCTTGATCCCTACTTTGATGCTATTTTGAGGTGACTGTCCTTTCCTAACCTCCTGGGTAGCTGGATTTACAGACATGTATTACTGTGCCCAGCTGATTTGTTAACTTAATACCATCTAATAAAGTATTTCTTTTTCCTTTTTAAAAAGAGTTATTTTATTTTATATGTATGAGTGTTTTGGTGCATGTATATATGTGCCTTGTGTGTGTCTGGTACCTGTGGAAGTCAAAGAGAGTGTCAGATGTGAGCCACCATGTGGGTTCTGGGAACCAAACCAGGATCCTTGCAAAGAGCAACAATGGCTCATATGCTTTTCTAAAAGGTATAACATTCAGGACATTCAGAAAAGAACAAGCTATCAAACATGATTCCTGACATTGTGGAGTTGTTTTGAAGTTTCAGGTAGGCTTGGACAAATTACAGATAGCTTATAGTTCAGGGTTCTGCTTATTCTGTGAGATAATTAAGCTGAAGACACTTAACTTTTTCTATCCTTATCTTGTAAATAAGGCATTGAAGTGAATAGTCCTCTCTGGTGTTATAGGCAATGGAGCCACTGTATTAGGTCATAATACAGTAAGATAGACTGGATGAACTATGAAGAGAAAACATTTATTTTGGCTCTTTATTCTGGAGATCCAGGGTTGAAGGGCTACACCTGATTATAGCCTTCCTTCTGACAGAGCCCTGTGGTTTGTAGGGAGGATATCATATGGAGGGGGGAGGAGAGAGAGAGAGAGAGAGAGAGAGAGAGAGAGAGAGAGAGAGAGAGAGACTCCATTTATATGCTCGTAAAACACACCAGAATTTCATCATGGGGTCTCTTTCCTAATTACAGTACTGAGTACTAATCATGAAGGCCCCAACTCTTAATATCATATTCAGATAAACTTTCCACAAACCTCACAGTGGAGAATAAATTTCAGCACATACAGCCTTGGGGTACACTCAGACCATACTCATACTGTGGTGGCCACCATTTTTTTGACTTGTGACTATAAAAGAAAGGGAGAGGAAATTGTAGCATTTGAAGGAAAATTTCATTTAGACAGTAGGTAAGACCAAGGTGAAATGTGATCATGTATGGACTGACGAGGAAAATGGAAGGGCTGACAAAATTCAGTTATTTCTCTACATATGGCACTCAAGAAAGAGACAAAATCCAGGGAGCTTTATGGGATTTCTGTGTTTCTTGATCTGAAAGTAAAGACAGGAAAATAAAAGCAGTCCTAGAGAGGTAATTTTGGGAAATCAGCTGAGAACATCTTGAGATGATAGAATCTCAGTATTTAGTAGGCAGCGGGAGCCAGGAAGTAGAACATTCTCACGATAATAATCTGATGACAAGAGAATAAAGAACAGCGTGTATTGTGCTGTTATCACAGGTATTCGTTATAGCAATCCCGTAACCTAAGTGAACTGCACTTCCAGAAATCACACACAAAGTAATGGCCCAGTTGGTTTTAGGAACTACATATATCCTTTATAAACGTACTTCACAGTTTAAACAAGGTAGTTTTGTGCATTATAGAAGATCAGTTACTCTTTTCTATTATATTAAATGTTTTCTTTGATACTTAGATGAATAACAAATATTGATCATTATAGCTTATGTATTAATCTAGTAAATATATAAGTACGTTAGTAAAATGCATGTATTTGTGAAAGTCTTAATGTGAGGATGAAGTATAAATATCATTTCTGTCTCCTAAGCTTAACAGTCAATACTGTTTTCATGAATTTTAGATCTAAATGCTATTTTTGTGCATTGGAATTGATCTGCCTTAACAGAAAAATTTGACAACTGATAGAAATGAAAACTTAAGTGAACATAATGTCTTACATTTGTTCCTTTGCATCGAAATTCGGTAACACACCACTCTGCTTTTATTTAGTAAATTGAGGGTTGTTTTCTTGTTTGTTTTGTGTTTTTGTTTTTATCAGTACTTTCACTAAAACATTTTTAAGGCTTTTTTTTTTTACACTGTAGTAAAATGTTTATGGCATTAAGAGCCAACTATTTAAGTACTTTCAAGTGTAAAACTAGCCTGTATTAACTAAATGTACTCACAGTGTTCTATAATTATCACCACTGTTTGTTTATTGAAAATTTCATTGTCTCAAATAGAATTTCCTTATAAAATTGTACTGGTTTCTTTCTTTTGAGGGCCTAGACTCACCCATTTTCTAGCAATTCAGTATTCGCTGTAATCTACTTATGTTGCTAAGCTTGTCATTTGAATCAGTTGTTCCCTTTGATAGGTTGTTTTGTATATTGAGGTAACTACTAAAATCGTAATTTTATATTTGCTTATTCTGTAGCAATGAAATACATACACATGTATCTGGAAGTATATCAAATTAAATGATATAAGCATTCAAACATTTTATTGAACAAGGGCAGAAAGACTAGGAATAAGGACTCTGATACACAAAAAATGCCCGGGAGTCTCAAATTAATGCATTTTCCCCCTTTCCTGTTAGATTCCTGGAGCAGGAAACATACCCAGCATAATAGATACTTGGGCATGTAATATAAAAGAATTTAGTCCCCAAACATGGCTATAAGCTGGACTCAGGAGACCAGCTGAGATCTTCCTTACATGTTTCTGTTGGTACTCAAACAAAATACAGCAGCTTAAAGAGTTTTAAAAACTTATTTTTAAAAGAATATGAAAACCTCATTTGGGGCCTGGAGAGTTGGCTCAATGGTTAAAAGCACTGGCTGCTCTTGCAGAGGACCCAGGTTTGGTTCCTAGCACCTATATGACAGATAACATCATCCATAACTCCAGTTCCAGGGGTATCTGACACCTTCTTTTGACCTCTGCAGTGCACCACAACATGGGTGCACTTAACATACAAGGCAGTACACTCATACACATAAAAATAAAAAAGAATATTTTTTAAAAACCTCATTTTTATTCCATTATTTTTCTTTTGGTAAAATGTAAAGTTTTCTTGGCTACTGATCTTTCTAGTTCAAAGCGATGACCTACTACTTTTGCATAGTAAAGAAATGGATAAATTATCAGATTTTTTGGAAAATTTATTTTGGTTTTTGAATAGAATAAGAACTTAAGAAAATAAGCATGAAAATTATTTGAATTGTAGCTTCACATGTCAAGCAAGATAATTTTATGTTGTTCTAACAGTATATTAATATATCTTATATGAACCAAGTATAATTTTATTTGCTCAGTATTGTTTTCTAAATAGTGACATTCCTAATGATATATGTTCATTGCAGCTGAAAGATGGTGGCAAGGCGTCCCAGGCACATGTAAGAATAGGTGATGTGGTCCTCAGCATTGATGGAATTAGCGCACATGGAATGACTCATCTTGAAGCCCAGAACAAGATTAAGGGCTGCACAGGCTCTTTGAATATGACTCTGCAAAGGTAAATTGATTTTATTTTTGGCTCTGAGAGAGAAAATAACACTGAAGAATGTGAGTCTTTGTGTTTGATACAATGTAGAAGCAGTTTCTACACAGTTATTTCAAATAAATAAATAAAAAGTATAGTGGCTCTTCAATTGGATCTTTAAGCAGTATGAGAATTAATGAAAGCTAAAGGTTATTTCTCCATGAAAAGTCATGTTCTCCATGTACTCATAAAAATTGAGTTTATAGTTTTAGAGAATTCAACAGTTACTGAAATTTCTTAGTAAAATGCAGGCTAAGAATTATCATCGAGTCCTTGATTAGTATTCTGAGTAGTATATTAGAGTGTGTGCTTCTACAATGTGATTTGATTTTCCTTTATTGTTTCCCTTTTATTTTGAATAGAAAACTACTTCTTAATAAATTCCTCTGAAGAGTGGATTTTAAAGATTTGTATTTTAAAAGAAGTTTCTCTGGCTTCAGTAATAAAATAATTTTCTTACTGATGTTAGTAACCTTTTGAGCATCCAAACACTTGACCGGCCTTGAAGCCATTGCATGACAGTGCTTGATAAAAGCAAAACTGGCCATGCCCAATCAGAATTTCTGCACGTAAGGATGAGAGTGGTATTTGGTTAAGTTCCCTGTTATTGTAATAGATTTTAAGGTAGGGATCATTGTAAAATGACCTAGTGTAAGGAAGGAGAACCTTGAGTGGAAGGAGGAGACGTGAGTGCTGGCTCTACACCTTTTTAAGGAGGGTAGCCTGACCAAGGGCCAAGTCTTGCTTTTAATGATCCCAGAAAATGTTCTCTATTTTTAAAATACAATAATTTATTGAGTCTTTGAGAATTTCGCACATGCATACAATGTATTGTGGTCATACCCACTCCCCACTCTTCCCCTAAGTGTTCTCTATTTTATTATATTTGGAAATTACCAAATATGATATCTGCCCCCAAATGACTCCTATTTTCCCATGGATTGTCATGCAAACTGAATCTTGAAAAGAGGAATAAAATACATGGTATCTTCCAGACTTATTTAGAACCTTTCTTCTCAGATTCTCTCCTAACATTAGTGTTCTGTTGATTGGTACTTAAAGGATTTATGCAGGATAAATCATATTTGCTTGTTTTGATGATTATGACTGTAAATAAGTAGGAAAAAGTTTTTATACTTCAAGTAGCATTGATTTATACACCTAGGTTAATATATCATGATTTTCTAACCAGTTTCATTTTTGAATTTCTTAAGTTCAAGTTCCACAGAAAGTAGCTGGTGTAAACCTTTAGCAGCAGTATAGGATGCTTGAGCCAATGGTTTTATATATTTATATATTTTTTATAGCTGTGCACTTTAATACATAGAAAGGCAATCAATGAGACAAACAATCTATTACTAAAATAATGTTTCCATACTTCGTGTCTATTTATGGAGACATGTAGCATAAACATTGTTACTGATTAAATGAGGGTGTTCATTTTTATTTATAGGCATTTTTGCCAGGTATGAATTCTAAAAGGAAACCAAGAACATAGGAAGCTTGTCTGAGATATCAAGACTATAAAACAAATACAGATGATGACTTTTCTCACAGCCAAAAACCCAATCTATGTATTTGTGTAAGCTCTTTTCCTGGGCTTCTATCATTTTTTTTTTATACTAACTTCCTTATTTGCACATTGCAGTCCTTATTTTATATCCCAAACACTGTACTTATTTTTATAAACCAGGGCTCAGTATCTTATTTTCTATTGAAAACACTAGGCCTCATAAGAATAGATGAAAAACAGATGTTACCCGGTTTGGATGCATTTCCAAATCTAGCTGTCTGCTACTGACTCTAATAAAGCTACTGAAGTACAAAATCTAACTTACAAAACCAACCTATTACTATAAATATTTAGGAATTCTATTAAATCTTATCTTTCAGTTTCTGAATGTTGATGTTCAGGGACCCAAAGTGTAAGGGAGAATTTTAGAGTGTTACAGTAATTAATTATAATTTAAATGTTACTGAACATGTCTTCTGTTAAATAATAAGAGCATTTTGGGGGTTATTATGTGTAATTTTTTTTCCTGTGTGTGGTGTGTGTGTGTGTGTGTGTGTGTGTGTGTGCATGTGTGCGCGCATGTTTGGGACTATGTGCTTGTATGTGTGTGGAGGTCAGAGGTCAACCTTGGGTGTCCTTCCTAATGTACCACCCACCTTGTTTTTTGAATTCTAATTGGCTTAGAAGCTAGCTTGCTTCTTAGGCTAGGCTGACTGGTCAGGGAATCCCCAGGGACTCAACTGTCTACTTCCCCAGTGCTGGGATTATAATCATGCACTGTAAGGCCTGACTCTTTTTTTATAGGTTGTGAAGATCAAACTGAGGTTTTTATGCATATATGGCAAGCCCTCTCCTGACAGAGCTATCTCCTCAGCTCTATTATATATAGGAGGCAGTTTCTTTTGGTTCCACAGAAAGTTGCTGGTGTAAACCATTAGCAGCAGTGTAGGAAATCCCTGGAGGTTGGGTTTGCTACCAGGGATCCAGGCCTGGAGGCAAATGTGTACTCTGAGGTTCTGCTCAAACCTCAGTCCTCTATTCAACAGGTTCTGCTCTAGTCCCATTAGGGCTGTCCTCTCTAAGTCACAGTTATTTGTCACTGAGTACCCTCCATTCCATTTCAGGTAGGTTTCTCCACATCCCTCGTATGCCTTTGTGTTGTCTGATGAGCTTTTCTGTGTATGCAACATCTGCCATCTGTTTGCTGTTGAGGCATGGTATCACATCTGCAAAACTCAACTGGGACCTCATCTCCTGCCCATAGTCTCTTCCTACTCATGCAACGTATTCATTTTGTTTTGCCCACCCTGAACTTGAGTGAAACAGTGTATTCATGTATTCAGCATTTAATTACACAGTAGGTATAATCAGAAATAACCAGGCTGATTTCATTTTTCATTTACATATAAACCTAATTAGTTAATAGTCATACCTAATGCTTTCTGCTGTTAAACTAATTATTCCATATATATTAGGCCTCTTTGTCCAACTAAGCTCTTGGAGAGCAAGACCATGCTTTCTGTACTATTTTTATTTGATAATATTTTGTATAATTTTATGTTTTTGATACCCAGTGAATAATTCCTTGATATGTACTAGCAGAGGGACAAGATAACACATTATCCCTACAGAGCAGCGTGAGTGAAGGCAGTTTGGTAAAAGGATGACCACAGAGGTGGTAGGAAGGGGCAGAGCTGGCTTAGAACCTGTAGGACTTTTGGGGTCGATATACATTTTCTAATAATATATATATTTTCTTTACCCTGTTAGAAAAAAAGATGTGAGAAGCTTTGGAAAGTTATAACTGCTAAAGAGACTTAATTATTGGAAAGAGAGGCCAGCAGGAGGAGCAGCCCCTTTTCTATGATTTTTATACAAGTCAAAGCAGTTCATTTTTAACTTTTAGAGTATTTCAGCTAATGAAAGAAAAAAATTCCACTCAAATGAATCTGTTGTCTGATCACTATTGACTGTATTAGAGTTGAATTTCATGAGTAAGTTTCCATGAATAATAATTTTTAACTGTTTCATTTATTTCAGTAATTCACTGCATAGGGCATTGATAAACTTGCTACTAACTTACTGTATGATTTGCAGCAGATCAGTAAACTTCTCGGCCTTAGTTTTCTTGACTATAAAATGAAATCATAAGTGATTACAAAAATCTCATTTTTGCAGTAAAAATTCCAGTTTTGCTTCTCGTTTTTCAGTTGTAAAAGGGTAAGTTCTCTTGCTTGCTACTAGATCAAACCAAATTAGTTTGCTTATCTTGGCTGAGAGAATCAGGAAATTGAAATTGAACTATCTTAAACTGTGCCAGATTAGCAAAGTAACTTGTTTTGCTCTGATGATTTTCAGATGAAAGTTATGTCAGATTCAGATGTGTTTTATCATCAGAAGATACCATACTTTTATCTTTATATTTTTAAATTAGTCCTGTGGGAATCACAGAAAATCTATGTATAGCTTTTCTAGTCTTTCTTGTTTTTTATGTATTTGTAGTGGCTTGTCTGGGGGTTCTTTTTTTCTTTTGTTTTTGTTTTTTAAATTTTATTTAGTGTATAACTTGTTATAATTGGAAATGAAAAGTCTAGAAGGGTTGAGTTTTTAAAAGTAGTGATGTAGCCAGGCGTGGTGGTGCACACCTTTAATCCCAGCACTTGGGGAGGCAGAGGCAGGCAGATCTCTGTGAGTTCAAGGCCAGCCTGGTGTACATAGTGAGTTCCAGGCCAGCTGGGGCTACAGGGAGACCCTGTCTCAAAAAGACCAAAAAAAAAAAAAAAATTAATGTACTTTTTCTGCCTTTTCCTTCTACATCCTTCAAAACACAACAACAACAAATTGTCAGAGGTCCAGTAAGTACTACTGATGAATGACAGATTGGAATAATTTAATAGGCACATCGAGTTATAAGAAAAAAGAGAAAGTAGTCTTGTACCAGACTGAAACTATTAGCCGGCTTCTGTTTCATTTTACCAGATTGCTTAATACCCTATTACTATATGCTGCACGAGTTTAGTTCTGCTTGCATTTCACTAATAGCATGGAGGCAGAGTTTTAGAAAGTAAGGAAATTGAATTTTGGTTTTAATCTAAAGTTTTCAGTTGTGTATCTGACAATGTTTAGTTAGATTATCTTTCCTTTTTAATAACTGGAGTTGTATACCCCATGGACAGTCTGTTTTTCTTCTTGGTATTTCACATACTTTTCTAATACCTATTCTGTAATTTCACATTACTTGTTGGTTTTGGTTTTAATCCTTTGCTTGGAAGATGGCTGTCTTACAGAAGGACCATGTGATTATGTTTCTACCTACCATCCATCATTAATATTGGACATGCTGCTTAAGGCAAGGGGAGGACAATCATGTGTTGACATTTATTGTTTTCATGGCCCTTCTTACACATCATTTAATACCTGTCAGTCAAATAGAGGGTGAAATTGATGCCATTAGAACATACCCATTTTTCATAATTTAGAGAGTTTATGTGAATTGCCTAACAAAGTTCAGTCTATGCCTCAACATATCTCCAGTCCCCTTATTTTTGGAGAGAAGGTCTCACTGTGTAGCCCAGGCTGGCCTTGAACTCATGATCCTCCTGAGTAGCCTGCTGAGATCACAGGCATGTAGTACCATGCTTGGCTGCCTTGAATAATCAGTAGTACCTTGTCCATAGGCAAGCTTGGTAACTATGAACTTTGCATCTTGAAAAAGTATTCAACTATTCTTTTTTTAATATGCAAAACTCATTTATTCTTCCAAAGGAAAAAAATAATTTCAATGTTATTTATAAGTCTTTGAGGAAAAATCCTAGGAAATAATACATTTAAAGATTTGCTTAATTTAAAATATTTATTGTGAAAGTTTTTTTTTTTTAATTATACCTGAGATTGTTCTTGTTGTTCACCTCTCCTGCTGCAGCCATGAACTCAGTGAATAAACTCCTAGTGTATTCTTTAAAAAGGTGGACTAGAAGCACAATAGGAATGACTTGGAGTCCTTTTTTGTAAGCACTGCATCTCTGTTTTTTTTTTTTTTTTTTAAAAAAAAGTGCATTCCAGTTTTAGTCTCACCTCAGTATTCTGTGATAGAGATTATTTTCTTTGTGATTTAAAAAGACCCTACATGAAAGAATAAAGGAAAAGGGGAACAGGCCAAATAGGTTAGTGAGCCATTAGATGGAGCACCCTTGTGGCATGTGGTTGCCTGTTCTAAATTTGAATGATACTTATTTTTGTCCTACAGGTTGATTATATTGCTAATTTATTTCTGAATTAAAATTTGAAGACTTAGATCTTTAGTAGAGCTTTAATCTTCTTATATGTGTTCTATGAATAACCATGTGCTCATGAAGCTTATAAAATAAAGATTTTAAGGACTATTTGTTTAATATGACACATACTAGAAAAGTGATCATTAGTCAGACATAGAAGTGTTATATATCTCTTTTTGTTTAATTTAAATAGGGGTAAAGCTCATTGGAAATAGATGTGAAGTTTCAATGTAGTTCATTCTTTGAATAATCTGTAGTACCTTGTTCATAGGCAAGCTTGGTAACTATGAACTTTACATCTTGACAAAGTATGCAGCTATTTTTTTTTAACTTGTAAAACTCATTTATTCTTCCAAAGGAAAAAAAATTTCAATGTTATTTATAAGTCTTTGGGGGGAAAAGCCTAAGATATAATACAGTTAAAGATTTACTTAATTTAAAATAGTTATTGTGAAAAGGTTTGCTTTTTTAATTATACCTGAGATTGTTCTTGTGAAATTTTTATTAAGTAGAATTCTTTGTATGTGCAGAATTTTAAAAAGTATTTTATTTATTATTTTTATTTTATGTGTATTTGTGTATTGCCTGCATGTAGGTAGGTGCACCTGTGTCGTGCAATGCCCGCGGAGGTCAGAAGAGGCTGTTGGATTTCCTGGGACTGGAGTTACAGACAGTTGTTAGCTGCCATGTGGGTTCTGGGATTCGAACCCGGGTCTTCTGCAAGAACAACCAGTGTTTTTGACCGCTAAGCCATCTCTCCAGCCCCCTGTATGTGCAGAATTTTTAAAGTAGAACTGTAAAAGAGGGTGGATGGCAATAACACTGGCTCTGAATGAGGCAAATGCTACACACCTGGTTTGTTCACTTCCTAGACGTGTATGTAGGCAAGCTGTGTAACCACATTTCGGTTCTTCATTTATAAATGGGCATCAAATTACCTGATTTACTTGGTGTTAGAATAGTTAAATGAAATAATATATTTAAAGAACCTAGGACATGATAGAGATCCTTCTCTTTCTGTCTTCATTGAGGGGTGTTAATGTGGTAACCACTGTAAAATTATAAGGAAGTCATATTTGTTTTGTCTCTTAGCAACAACAGTGGGTGTGCTAGTAACAACTAGCAAGTGAGGGAGAACTTGGTAGGTAATTATCTAGGAAAGAGATGCAAGTGTTAGAAAACAGGATTCTTTTACTTTCAAATAAGTGGTTTTTGTTCATATAGTTGTGATTAAAGCTCTCTTTCAAAGATTTTAATGGTTACAAGCATTATGCTCATTGCTCTGCCTTGTTCAGAATAACTATGTTCTTAACCAATAATTTATGTCCCATCTGGAAGGAAAAATAATGTTGCAAAGAGAAACCTAGTACACCTAGTCTTGTTTATTCTGCTAACTCTTCCTGTTCTCATCAGAGGAACAATTGCGATGTAATTCTCTTTTATTGTGTATGTGTTGTCAGAAAGACAAACAAAAGTGTGCGTTTTTTTCACCTCTCACCTTCCCATCTAATTAATTTGTATTTCCGTTACAGTAAATTTCTAGGTAACATAGTAAAATCAAGTAATTTCTAACCTCTGGACTGAACCTTTAGAAGGATTTTTGTCTTATAACCTAGTGTTCATTAACATTGCCATTAACACTAAGGTTTAGTTGAAGAATGTCAGTGTTAATCAAAAAAAGTTGCAGTTTTATCAGATTTACCTTATGACTATCAGCTTAAGGGACAGATAGTGATTTTTAATCTTTTCCTTTAAGAAACAGAATCTCTTCATTGGGATAAGACACAGAATGTGCTATAGGTGTGCAAAGAAGGGCATGATCCCATCCAAATGAAAGGCTCCCTAGAGGTCTCAGAGCTGGACCAGGTCCTGAAGGATGGGGAGGATGTCTCAGAGCAGTGTGTACTCAAGTAGTGTGGAGAGGACAAATCTCCACTCTGACATCTGTGAGATGGGCAAATGAAGCAGCCAAGAATAAAGGAGATGCTCTGAGAGGTCTCAGACACTGAGGTACTATT